GTCAAAAGGTCTTGAAACAATATTATCGTCTATCAAAATAAATTTTTAGACAATTAATCGCTCAGCAAAATTTGTTATGGTGACAGGCCTACACATACCTGTACGTTTGTGGGTCAGGAAGTGAAACTTTCACTCAAAATATATCGACAAGACGAAAACGCTCAAGCACCAATTTAACATTACAGTCTAGATGTTCACTAAGACATATTACACCTTGCTCTCTGCTGTCCATTTTATTTTGTTTCTTGTTGTTGTTTTAAATAGTTATTTGAGGAAAAAACAAAACAAAACCGCTGTAAACAAAAGTCAAAATAAGAGCATGAATATTAACATCTAATTTGAATAAGTAAGTCAAAAACCAAACCTTCAACACAGATTTTGAACTTTTTTACATTCTAGTAAATTAGCGTTTATTAGACTAACTTAATTTAAAGAAGCTAAGTGTGCTAAATGTTTCCAGCTAAGATGTTATGTTAAAAATTAGGTTTGCTATTAGCAGAATATTAATTTAACTGACCATCGTCTAGATATCATAATAAGTAAAACACAATAACCTGAAGCTAGCCTGAAAACACAGATTATAATCTAGTTTCATCTGGATTATAATCTGTTCTTCTGCAGCTTCATGGACTGGTGAGGCTGCTGGTCTGAGCTCCTGTCCCTGCTGGTTTCCAGTTTAGTTTTCATACAAACTCTAACTCAGGGGTGTCAAACTCCAGTCCTCTGCTGTCCTGCAGGTTTTAGATGAGCCACAGGGACAAAACACTGGAATGAAACGGCTCCATCACCTCCTCCTGGTGTGAATCAGGTCTCCAGAGCCTTATTAATGACCTAATTATTCTGTTCAGGTGGCTCAGCATTGAGACTGACGCGTGTGCTCTAACTGGACCCATTCCACAGTTAGTGATGTGTTGTAAGTCAGGGTGGGTGGCTCCAGGCCTGGAGGTTTGGTCTCCTGTAACCTGTAGATGTGTCTCCACTTCCACACACCTGAGTCTCCTTACAAGGTCGTCAGCAGGTGAACCTGCTGATTGAAGCGTGTTGGATCAGGGAGACACTAAGCTGCAGGACGCCGGCCCTCCGTTGTTCTAAGTGATGACCTGCATGGCGTTGCGTTGCAGGCGAGCAGCAGCCGTCGCAGGACGATGGTGCGGCGGACATGGCGGCCCTGCTGGTGGATCGGGACGTGGTGAGGCTCACATCTGGCGCAGATTGCTGCTTGGAGAAAGTTAAGCTGATTGCAGGCCCAGTTTGATCTGAACATAATCAGTTTGGAGGAAAATCAGCTTAAAGTTTAGAGCAGCGTGCAGACTGTTGGTTCAGGTTTAATCATTAATGCCTCAGCAAACCGACTCGTAATCCAAGTTGTTGTTTGTGCAGCAAATCCTGAACCACATCCTGGACGACGTGGAGTTCTTTGTGACCAAACTGCAGAAGGCGGCCGAGGCGTTCAGCGAGCTGAGCAGGAGGAAGAAGGGCAAGAAGGGCAAGAAGAAAGGGCCGGGAGGTGGCAAATTCAAACATTACTGTATCAATGCAACATATTAGAAATAATTTCAATAAAGATTTTAGACTTTTATTTTGATATACCTTATTTTTTTAAATATATTTGAATTTTGGTTCAAATTTAAAGTTTTTTAATTGTTTGCATTTTGAAAACTATGGAGAATTAGATTTAGTTGATTTTTAAATCCCAACTAAATGTTTTCCATGTTAGTTTTACTAAAGATCAAAATTAGTTATTTTTCATTTTAAAATGTAAACAAAAAAACTTTTTAGACCTTAATTTTAATATCGTTTACTTGGTGCTTTTTTGTATTTTAATTTTAGTTCAACTATTTGTTTCCTAAACTGTCTAATTGTTTTTGTTTTGAGGAAATAACACAAAGAACCAACAATAATTGGCTTTAAGTAAATAAGAGAAAAATACAGCATTCTGACGTGCTGGTGCTCGTGTCGTCCACCAGAGGGCGTCCTGTCCCTCAGGTCCAAGCCTCCCAGTGAAGAAGAGTTTGTGGACTGTCTGCAGAAGTTCAAACATGCCTTCAACCAACTGGTAATTGATTCCAGTCCATTGAAACTGGTTTGGTTCTGATCCAGACTGTAGCCAGAGGTTACTGGTTCTGCAGAACCTTCTGACCGTCTGCTCTGACCCACAGGCGAAGCTGAAGGACCACATTCAGAACCCCAGTGCCGTGGATTTGGTCCATTTCCTGTTTACGCCACTCAGGATGGTGAGTCCAGGAATGACATCACTAACGGTGGGCCTGCTCCAACAGAACCGAGCAGAACTCCAGGGTCTCCCTGTCTCCAGGTGGTCCAGGCGTCCGGTGGTACCGAGCTGGCCCGGAGCGTCCTGGTTCCGCTGCTCAGCAGAGACGCCATCGAGTTCCTTCACGCCGCAGGAACGGCCGAGGAGCGCCACCTGTGGGTGACTCTGGGTGACGGCTGGACCAAGTGCAGGTTAGAACCATGACTCGGTTCTGTTCTATACTGGACCTGGTTCTTTCCAGGTTCTTGGATGTTTCTATATTTGGCTCATATTTCTTCCTGTAGCAGACCAGAGAACAGGATCGATAAATTCCTGGTTCTGGTTCTTCTCAGTATTTCTGTCAGTTTCAGTGAGATTTATTTTATGTTCATATTTGCTTTATGTTCTCAGCAGAAGTTTCTCTCTCATGTTTGTTCAGTCTGAATAATTTACTCTCTTTCCTGATTTCTGTTAAGTAGTTGTTGGAGCCTCTCTGGTCTCTGTCTGTTTCCATGGTTACTGATCTCATGGCGGCCGCTCTGCGTGTTTTCCAGGCTGGAGTGGCCGAAAGACCACTTCTTCCCCCAGGTGGCGCTGCGGTTCCGGGACGGCTGGGAGCCCCCGGTGGTTCCGGCTGTGGCTCCGGGTCGGGAGCAGGAACTCCTGCAGCTGGCCGAGAGCCTGGTGAATGCCGACGCCCGCGGTGCGGCCGACCTGCGGCCGTGTCTGGAGGTCAGTCGATCGGAACCCGCCGGAGGTTATGGTGCCGACGCCCGCTAACGCGCTTCATGTTCTGTGTTTCTGCAGCAGGGGGCGCTGCAGCGGTTTCCTCTGGCTGACGGGTACGCTCTCCATAACTCCGCCTACAAAGGCTTCCAGGTCCTGGACCAGAACACGGCCGTGGCTGCTTTCAAACACGCCGTCAGCCGCCGTGTGGACCGGTAACCGCAGGTCACATGACGCCCTGGAGAACTGGCCCCGCCCCTTGGCAACGCCGCTGCGGCTAGCGCTGCGGCTAGCGCTGCCCCTTCATTAATAAATACATGATGAATCAAAATACGAAAAATATTCTGATGGCTATAATAATCACACTGAACATATTTAAAAATATTGATTAATTTTTATTTACATTTGAAAATTGTAATAATTCTAAATATTTACTGTTTATGTGAAGATAAAGATTAACTGATTAACTTTTCTACACCTAGATTTTAACAGAAAATAACAATTATTAGTTATTCTGACATTTAAGAGTTTATTGGGTTTATTTCTTTAATTGAATGCATTTGTCTTAATTTATAGTTTTTTGGTTAAACTGTAAGTCATTTGTTAAAAATCAAATGTTTTCCTTCATGTATTTATTAATGTTTTAAACTGATGAAGTTTCGTTCTTTCTTTCTTGATTCTGTTCTTCATTTCCTCTTTTCAAACCAGATGATTGGACTTTCCATCTTTAAATCCTTCTGCACTGCAGCAGAAGGTTCTGGGTCAGGTCTGGATCCAGAACCTTCTAAACACAGGGAACATTTCTCCAGGGCGTCAGGCCCATGTTGGGTCTGTTTTGATCCGTTAGCAGACTCTCAGTTGCTCCTGGTATCGGCACTGCTGCAATCCGGTTCTCATCGTGACCCGTTCTGTCCCTCAGGAGTTTGGACGCGCAGATCCGACTGGATCAGAACCTCTTTGCCAAATCAAAGTACGACTTTGTGGCAAGGAACAACACGGAGCTGTCGGTTCTGAAAGACGAACTCCTCGAGGTAAACCGCTAACCGGTTCTGGTTCTGTTCTGGGTCAGAATGAACAGCTTCTTTAGAACACAGAACCAGAACAAACGGGTTCAGGAACCATTTCTAGATCAGGAGTCAGAGCTGATGGGCCCTGGTTCTGTCTGGCAGGTTCTGGATGACCGGAAGCAGTGGTGGAAGGTCCGGAACGGTGCCGGCGCCGCCGGCTACGTGCCAAACAACATCCTGGAACTGACCAGAACCTCGGACCTGACCGGCCGTGGAGACCCGGTCTACAGCCACACCATCCAGGTACCTCACCTTCATCCTCCTCATCATCATCCTCATCATCATCATTATCATCTTCATCCATGTTTCGTTTCTCTTGGCTGAAGCTCATGATGCCAAAGAAGGAGTTTGAGTTGTTTAAGGTAGGAAGAGCCGGACTCCGGTTCTGATGCTCTGGTTCTGATGCTCTGGTTCTGATGCTCCGGTTCTGATGCTCCGGTTCTGATGCTCCGGTTCTGCTTCCTGGTTGCTTTGCTGTGGGTCTCTTAAAGGAACAGTCCCTCATTTCTGGTCATTTGGGTCAGATTCATGTCTTCATCTCTCTGTATCTCAGAACCATCATTAAGGGTCAAACCGGGTCTTTACCCGACCCAGTTATTCTGGTCCTTTTCCAGATTTTCTCCAGAATGTTCAGCTCAGAGTGATGGTGGTTCTGACCCGCTGGGATGATCAGAACATTTTGGGTTTAGCCAGTTTCTCCGTCCGATCATAGTCAGTCTGTGTCCTCTGCTAGATTACTTCCTGTTTTCTGTCCAATCAGAACCCAGTAGATTCAACCTCTGGCTCTGGAGGAACTGGACCTGAAGGTTCTGTGAACTGGCCCACGTGAAGTTGTGACCCACAGCTGGTCATTTCCCATCAGAACCAGTGTAACCAGTTGGTCCAGAGGACCGGTTCTGGTTCTGTATCTGTGCAGATTGTTGGACTGTTCCTTTAATCGGTTGGAGCCTCGGGTTGCTCAGCCTGGCAGAGAAAAACGGGTTTTAGAAAAACTCTTAGCAAATATTTAACTCCAAGCTAAACATTTAGTTTCGAGTTAAATATTTAATTCAAAGGCTAAATATTTAACTTTCTAACCCTATATAGAAAGCTAACTATTTAGCATTTATAAATTAACTTTGTAAAATTAAAAACACAATGTGACTTATGAACCCTGATTTTTTTTCTCTTCTGACTAAATAACCCAAATTATTGCTGTGAGTTTTTGACTGTGACCCTGCAGATGGTTGCTACAGTAGAGTCCCTGCTGGTCAGATTTAGTGAGTTCATGGTGAATAAAACATGTTTTATCTTCTGACCTCCATCTTTGCTCCATTTCACCTCAGCAGCAGTTACTGGGAGAGTTAAACGAGGTAAACCATCATTTCCTCATCGTTTGGGACAATCCCAGAGATCTAATAACTCATTTATCAGAGTTATTAGATCTCTAACAAAATCCTGTTTTTGATTTTAACTTGATCAGGATGTTTCATCTGCTGGTTTTTATTCCTGGACTGGATCAGGCTAAAGCTGAGCAGCTGAGACTTGCTAACAGGAAGTTCTGAGTTTCTGATCCTGATGAATATTATCACATTAAGGTTGTATGAATATGACCAAAGCTGAAAACATTTAATGTGACATCATCCATGTCATGAAAATGAGTAACAATTTAAGGTAATTTGTTTAAAAGGCTCTAAAACTGCGGCCATTTTGAAAAATGTCCTTCCTGAAACTCAAGTGGCTGATGGGAAATCTGAAAAGCATCCAACCTGAATGGTTAGCATGCTAATGTTTATGCTAGTACCTACATATTGTTACAGTGATGAGCTCCAATACGAAGTAGGAATAGTTTCCTCAATTTCAGGTTTTAAGGCGGACCTTTACTGTGACCTTTGAACTTCTGATAAAGCTCCAAACATCAGGAAGAACCAGACACTAAGGCGGTTCTGTTCTCCTCCAGAAACAGACCGCAAAGTCTGACCCACCTCCTGATAAACCTCAGATGTCCGAGGTCCCGTCGCCGCCCGCTCCCAACCGGCTCCCCACTCCGCCACTTCCTCCCCCTGCCGCAGAACCTGGCAAACCGAGCAGCGCCGCGCTCAGCCGCAACAACAGCAGCACATCCAGCGATGCCGGTGGCACCGCCACCAGGGAGCTGGGTGCCCAGAGAGCCGCCGCCGCAGGACGTAAGTTCACTCCTCACAGGACTGGACATTTTGGACAGGAAGCTGTAAATGGGAAGCTGTATAGACAGGAAGCTGTAAACAGGAAGCTATAGACAGGAAGCTGTAAATGGGAGGCTGTGGACAGGAAGCTGTAAACGAGAAGCTGTGGACAGGAAGCTGTAAACGGGAACCTATGGACAGGAAGCTGTAAACAGGAAGCTGTAAACGAGAAGCTGTATAGACAGGAAGCTGTAAACGGGAAGCTGTATAGACAGGAAGCTGTAAACGGGAAGCTGTGGACAGGAAGCTGTGGACAGGAAGCTGTGGACAGGAAGCTGTAAACGGGAGGCTGTGGACAGGAAGCTGTAAACGGGAAGCTATAGACAGGAAGCTGTAAACGGGAAGCTATAGACAGGAAGCTGTAAATGGGAAGCTGTATAGACCGGAAGCTGTAGACGGGAAGCTGTAGACAGGAAGCTGTAAATGGGAGGCTGTGGACAGGAAGCTGTATAGACAGGAAGCTGTAGACGGGAACCTATAGACAGGAAGCTGTAAACAGGAAGCTATGGACAGGAAGCTGTAAACAGGAAGCTATGGACAGGAAGCTGTAAACAAGAAGCTGTGGACAGGAAGCTGTAAACGGGAACCTATGGACAGGA